AAAAAAAAAAAAAAAGGGGCATTTGTTTTGTTTTTTGTTTATTTTTTGATATTTGACTTTTCACATTTACTGGTAATAAGTGGTAATAATGGCGGTGAATAGAGAGAGCGGGTGAGGGGAAAAGGAAATGGGTGATAAATGCGAGCTTTTACTGCAATGGAAAAAACCGATGATCAAACGCGCGCCGGGTGATCAGTTCGAGTTGATATTGACGTACACGTGGAGCCATAATAATGGCGGCAAGCGTTTCACCTGTTTACTAGGAAGCACTCGTTAATTTGTTTGCAATTTTTTGTAAGTAGTTGACATTTTTTCAAAGCCAATTCAATTGTGTTCTATAAAAATTATGAGATGATATAAATAATTAAATATACATTTTTTTTTTTTCAAAATATATCACGAATTGAGTCATAAAAAAATTAGATAATTGTAGTATGTTTTACAATCTGATCATTGATTAATATAAATAGTACGTAACTATTTGACTAGTACGTACATGAAAGACCTATTTGACATTAATAAGTATGCAACAGAAAGAAGAAGAGTCCCTCCGAGACTATGTCGCTCAATGTACAAAGGAGTGTCGATATAATAGATCTCACCTAAGCGAGGAAAAAGACAGTAATTTCACCTTCCCTCTCCTTTCAGTCGAGACTCACTTTGCTCTCCTTTGTGTGACTATTTCCCCCCTGAGAAGAAAAAAGAGTAGGAAAGAAGGGAGCGTCTTCCTATTAGGCCGAGAGCATTAGTGCAAGCCCCGCCCCTTAGTCTTATGTTCATTCGTAGTTGACTTGCTTACTTGACTGGAGAAAGGAAGTTAGATGCTCAATTGTAAGATCAAAGTGGGAATCCAACCGTTGAGGAATCCGATGACGAATGCAGTAAGGGATTTACCTTTCCACGACTGTAAGCCATGACTCTTACGACTGTAAGCCACGACTGCAGCTAGCGGATGAAGAAAGGAGAATGCTTAGAGGTCCACTCAGCATCGTCTGACTCGAGGACTCTGACATCCGTCATATTTAAAATTCTAAATGCATTATGAGTGATATATTATGATATTTGGCCATGTTTATCGTTCGATTGTGCATCATTATGTTTTATTTATTAATCTGTGTTAGAGGTACTTTTTGTCGTTAGTTTTACGGAAAATATGTCCAAAAAAGCGTTAAAAATAGAGTTGGGACGAAAAACAACGAAAAGTATGTGCATATAAGGACCCACGACTCGTGTGGGGCAGTGACACGAGTTGCGTGAGTAAGAAGAAAAGGACTTTACATTACGACATTTTCTCATGAGTCGTGTGGACTCACACGAGTCGTGTGACCTGGTCATGTGAGTCTCAGAGTTTGGCGAAATTGGAGAATAGTAACACGACTCGTGTGGCTCTATTACAGAAGTCGTGTGACGCGCAAACCACTTCAACAAGGAGTAGGATTCTAATGCGATTTCTTTCATATTTCAACCAATATTCGGTCTACACTATAAAAGGGACTTGGAGAACTCGATTTTGGGACTTTTGACACCTTTGGAGGCCAAGATAAAGCACGAAACGAGCAATTCGAGGAAGTGAAGATTGAAGATTCAGGAACTAACGACGACAATAGTTCTTCTTTCTTTTATCTTTTTCTTCTTCATTGAACTCATGAATTTATTTATTTTGAGTTTCGAGAAATCTTTTATAGATTCTAGGATTTGTGAGTACTCGGATTATTTTATGAAGTAATTTTATTTATTCATTCCGGTCTATCATTCGTGTATCAATTTCTTGTGCTTATATTGATTGTGTGAATATAGGGTATGTATTTATGCATATTTGTGATTGACTTGAGACCGAGAGAAGATAGTTGATTGCTAGATTTGGGAAATTCATTACGTAAGAGACTAAACAGACCGAGAGGTTGATAGAATCTTGCAAGGGAACCAGAATCTTAGGAACTATGGGAGTTAAGTGTTCATCTTGAGACCGATAGGAGATAGATATCATTTAATCAATGATTTAACTTGCTCGAGCGAGAGGCTAAATTACTTTAGTGATTATCCTTACGATTGTTAGAATTAAATAAGGTTTGAATGAACAAACATCTTTGCGAAAATAATCTTGAGGAAAACTTAGCCTAGAATCTATTTTCTTATTCTTGATTTATTTTAGAACAAGACTTCATTAGTGTTAGAATTTATTTTGCAATCGTTCATTAGTTTAGAATTAAATTTCCATTCAATTTGCACAAGTAATTAATAATATTTAATTGTCTACATTTTGGTACTTAATTATTTTAACAACAGTCTCTGTGGAATATGACCTTGCTCGCCGCTTACTATAACTACACCGTACACTTGCGGGTAGTGAAAATATTTTGCGAACAGACTCCAGCCAGGGCCATGCAGTAATTAGCTGCCAAAAGGCCTGCTAGAGTCTGATGAGTTGATTGAAAGATGCAACAATTACATTAATATGGAGGAAGCTGAGGCATATTTTATGCAGAGTGATAGAACAAATTAAAGCGAAGAAAGCAAAGCAGTCACGACCTAATGATAAGAGGTTGTCAAATAAAGAAGGGAGGTCTGACGCGACCTAAGTTTGGTTTCAAGTATAACAAGTACGCTCGTTAACGCTAACTCAAAGAGACGTGTTCAAGATACTTGAGAAGAGAGGTGGAGTGGACACCCTCGTTAGGCCTAACCCCATTCCGATATGGAAATGATACATGCCCCAGAGAGGTGACCCCTACTATCGGTATCACAGAGATTACGACCATTAAATGAATAGTTGTAAGGATTTGAAAGACGAGATCAAGAGGCTCATACGAGTTGGGCACCTCAAGGAATTCTCCGCAAAGGACATATAAGGAAGAGATGAACACGAGGTCACTTAAAAGCGCAAGCGAACATAATAGCCTGATTAGAGACTGCCCAAGATGAGCGTGATCCAGATAATTGCAGAGGGACCAACTGACAGAGACTCCCACATTGAAATAATAGAACCTATCGAGGAAAAGAGACAGCCAGAGAAGTACCAAAAGTGGAGATCCAGAAGTCAAGAAGCAATTCTGAAATTCAATGTAGTAGACGTCAAAGGCGTCTCCTATCCCCCACAATGGTGCCCTCGTAATAACTGTCGAGGTCAATGGTTACGAGGCAAAGAGAGTTTTTATTGACATATGTTGCTTAGTGGACATCGTCTTCGTACAAGGCCTCAAATACTTAGCTTCAAATATATATCTATCTACAATTCCACATCATTTTATCGCAAATAATAATAATAATAATAATAATAATAATAATAATAATAATAATAATAATAATAATAATAATAATAATAATAATAATAGCTCTATCAACTTTTAATTATAAAACTTATACATGATTTATTTATTACATATGTAATAAGTATGAAAGTAAAATATGTAAATTAAATAAACAGATATATAATACTACATTATTAATATATATATATATATTAAAATATTTATTTATTGAAGTATGTTAAATATTAATGAAAGTTAAATAAAACATGGTAATTAGATAATATAATATTATTTATTTATTTATATACTTATTTTTATTTTGTGTTAATTCATATTTAGTAAATAAATTACGGTCAAAATATATATATATATATAAAGATTTGATTATTTTTAAAATAGTAACTATTTCCCTCCAAAAAAATATTCTTTTTACTATATTTGGAAGTAAATTAATTAATTTATGGTATAAAGTTGGTGAATTTATTTTTGGTATATGATGATCTTTTCTATGGAAATAAATAAATCAATATACATGATAAAGTGAGCAAATTTATTTTTGTTATTTGATGGTCTTTTAATGGAAAGGAAATTAATCAATATATAGATACAAGTGTATTTTAAAATTTTAAAAAGATAATAAGTAGCATGAATTGTTTTTGGTATAGTATGAAAATTGGATGTTTGTAAGTATGTTTGTATGCTATGATTTTGTAACTGGATTGTACCAATCATTGTTTTTCTTTTGTAGATCACAAATTTTCGTTGTAGATCTTTGCCGAGGCATGAGCACGCGTGTTGTTTCATAGGTGATGTTGCGTGTCAATTTTATTTGGTGAAGGTATCATTTATTTTATAGATAATGTGATGGTTTAACTTGATCAATTCGTACCAATATGATATAGAAAATGTGCACAAATAGGTATTATTGAAAACAAAATAAGTAGAGCTAATTTAATTAGTATAGTATAAAAGTCGAACTTTAGGCTGATTTGGTATAAAATCAAGATGATATGATTCTCAAATTTTAGCATATTTTTTATAACAACTTGTCATAAGATATTGATGATAATTC